TATCATTACAAACTTCCGTGGAGTGAACAGCAGACGGGTAAGCCCCATAGTCACGAAGACCTACTGTTCAGCAATGGAAACCGGTAACCTAAGCCCCGAGACTTAGTGTGGGGAATCACATCAGGCCCCGATAGGTTAGGCGTATGTAAGTTATCTTGATCTTTCTGTTTTTTTTTAGATTCAGCATTTAATTATCAGATTGTTTGATAAACTTACATGTAATTAAGCAGCAAGAGCTAATCGGGGACCAACCATGAGACAAACTGTTGAATACTTGAATTACTTTCCCTCTTTTTTCCTTGCAAGTCATATTTAATGTGCTGTAATGGCATAATTAAGACACTAAAAAGGAGCTTGTTTGCCAGTTTGCGTTCTCATTATGAGCTCTGTGGGACTGTTTAAACATTATCTTCGAAACTATTTATAGATAGTTTGTCTATGTAATATAGCGTGATCTTTTTGGCCATCTTTTAGATTCATTAGTGAATGCACAAGATGCGTCAGTATCGACAGAGGAACCCGAGGCACCTGTGTCCAATGTGGAACCGAAGGACGATCCTTATGAGGGCTCACCGCATGTGCAAGCCATTGTAACATTCGTTAGCCCATCCCTGGGGCTATATTCGGCCAAACGGGAGATTGATTTGCCGGCGGGAAAGTATTCCTCGATTTTGGCCACCTTGATAAACACACACGAAGGAATGAGTCTTCCACGTTTCAGTCTTGATTTGCTGGAAGGTTCACTTCATTACCCCGGCTACTTCGACTATTACATACAGAACTTCACAAAGATTCGCTTGCAAAATACGTTGGAACCTGGACAAGAAGTAAATTTCCTTTCTATTCGCTGAATGTAATTCTAGGGTTCATTGTTTTATAAATTTCGACCAGCTGTTGAGCTGGTGGGAAGACCGTTTGATCTGTCTATTGTGGCCCATTATCATGATGAGAATGGTGTGTATTACGCGCATCGTCTGTTCAACCAGACAGTCAACGTAAGTGAACTTCTATTGATTTTCGGAGAACTGTTAAACGGAATCGTCCGTTTCAATCGCCTGCAGCTAATCACTTCGTGTACCTTCCTGTCTTATGTATTCTATTTTAGCTTTATGAGGTAGAGGAAGGTGTGGACACTCAAATGTTGTTTCTCTGTGTTCTTGTCGCCGCCATATGCGTCGCAATTTTGGTTGGCCTATGGCATTGGTGTTCCTCCAAAGCCTCCCGCAGGCATGTGACTCAACAACCGTCAAAACAAGATGAATCAAATGGCACTACCGTCGTTGAAAACGAGTACTTGGCCTTGCTTCAGAATCCCAAATTGCCTAAATCGGGTAAGAGTGGACTATTTGCATATCACGTGTCCTAAGCAGTTTGGGGGATGTGTTACAGTCACCGACCTTAGGTTTGGTCACGCATTGCCGAGTTATGTACTTGTGTATATATAAACAACAGCACAACAAAAATCTGACTGACTTCATTTCATTTGTATAATTTCATCCAATAAATCCTTGATGCCCTAAGTCCGTCCGTTCCCTCGAGCCATTCGCGATTACGCCTAAATGCTTAAGCAAACTGACTAGATTACCGCCCACCGAAAACAAAGAATTGGAATGTTCCACATGTTTCTGTTTGTTTCAGTAGATTACTTTGTGCATCTGCTCGTGTCGCTATCGTCGGCAATTTGTTTACAGATAGCTTTGGCAGTATCTTTATTCGCTCGTTTTTTTTTTAATTGCAGGACGATCCGGCAATACTGTGACTCGCCGCCAAGGCAGACGATAAGTACCATGTGAATATTTTCCCAATCGCTCTCGTGACTTCATGGTCACCCCGGAGGCTGTAATTATGTAGACTGCTCTTCTGTTTGTTTTGCTACCTATTCCCTATGTGTTTTCATTTTCGTTTTTTGTCCATATAATGATGTACTTATGTGGAAAATGCAGTTCTTGGAATCTAAGGTGTCTCTTTGCTGGTAACTCATTACGAGAACTGGGTATTCATAGTCCTGCGTTGTTTCTGTGCTTTTATGCAGCAGTTAGGTTGTTTCCGCCGCCCGTTTCGGATGAAGAAGTGCAGTATTTGGATTAGCTAAGGTTTCAAGGATCTAGAGTAGGTGCATAGCACTGGGTGTCCTTTACTCCCCCATCCAAACGGGCAGTCATGAGCCAGTAACTAGAACCGGTGCAGTTAATGGTTGTTAAATCTGAAACACTCGGTATCTTCAAATATCACTGGCGGTGGTGGCCAAGTGGTTAGGTCACCAACTGGTGACCTGGGTGTCCCGGGTTTAAACCGCTCCACCGCCGCCCGTCTTCCCTATATCTGTATTTTCCCTAGGCAACCTTTGTATGGCCGCAGCCCCCTTCCTGAAAGTTGACTGTACTTTTGTATATTCATTAAATAGAAAAAGGCATTTCATTTTTTACACTGATCCCGCGGATCTATTCAGTAATCATGACATGACTGTAGTCTCCTGTTCAAGGTTTCTATATACTCATGTCCATCATGACGAGGCTGCACCTTGACTTGGTGTGACGACTTGCATGCCTCCATGACCCTGCGAGCCAAACAGGACGGTCTTCACAGTCGTATGTACGGTCAAGTTTGAAGGGTCAATGGGTAGAGGCCAAACAAGGCTCAGTCTCATGAGGTCACTTTCTTCATGTCTTTTTAAAATGCCTTTACTTCCTTTTTATCTATCGAGTATACAAATGTGCAGTCAACTTTCGTGAATCCTACTGCCTTGCAGGTCAGTCTTGAGTCTAAGTTTGCGTCTAGAGTTCTCGAAGAAATTCCCTTTCATTGATGTGGGTTGCCATTTACGATGTACCCTGAGGGACCTACTGCGTCCTGGCATCGTGCTAATCTGTAAGAACATACTGTGTAAAATTTAGTTGATGGCCTAGTCACTTCCAAACGGTAGAAATTTGGATTGAATTGAAGCGTAATGATCTTGGGTACAGTGATACTATCGGATAGCTGGGGTAGCTATCTCTAACTATTCGACGGAAGCCTCAGTATGGTCGGGGGTGGGTGTCTAGAGCTGCTGGTGGTTTCGCTTCCCTTACACCACGCGAAGTGCTGCCATACGACCAAGCGTCTCAAATAGCTCAGGAAGCCCTACTCACTGCCTTCAGGTGGCGGTGTTTTCCCACCAAAGTGAGGACGAATAGCCGACGTCAGTTTCAAAAGACTCGTGAATCCTGCGTTTCTTCCTGACAGCGCAATATCGCTCAGTCCATCTGTGTGAGTTTCGCGCATCACGTCTCAGCACTGGTTCCCGCGGTTCACTCAGTTGGAAGCAATCCGAACCTGACCATTTGTTGCGCGGGAGTTGAAGAGGATTTGATTCTTTGGTGTAGTGAATCTATTCATGTACATAGCACACGAAACGTGCACCGAAAAACTAGTTTTGTGAGATGCTACCCACACGTGTGAGTAGTTCGCAAAAAAAATGCGATTGGCGGTTTCTTTCAACGGTCAAGAATGAACATGACCTGTTGGAGCGATTTACTCCTGTTCAGTAAGGTAACTACAACAATGCGCACCTACTGTTGGATCGTTCCATTAACTATCCCGTGTGTGTGTGGGAATTCGGAAGACTTTAAATGATTCTAGCTCGGGATGCGGATGTTGGTGAGTTCTCCGAGCAGGAAGTGTTGTT